AGACTATAACTTTCAAAATCAAGAAATGTTATGTGTCCAGACCAAAAGAAAAAAAAACAGACTTCATTTCTAAGTTTAGTTTGCGACCTTCTGTGGCAGGGGGATGGGGGACAGGACATAAAATGGTTTGGCCTAGAGTTGTACCTTAGAGAAAGGATCAAACTCAGCTACATCATTCATTTGTTCATTTCTCCAGCTCATTTGCTGATTGCGCAATATTTGTTTACAGCTTTCCCAGCGGCAGATGAACAGGTCTGTGAAGGAGTAGTGCCGTGCATTGTTCAAGCTAGCTCAATCCAATCAACTATCTTAGAGTCACGTTAACCATCAAAGACATGCAGAATTTAGTCAGTTGGTTAACACATTCAGATAATGCAACAGGTTAAAATGGCCTTAGGCATTGCAGCTCCTGATCTAAGTCCAAGCTACAGAATATGCCAAAATTTTGCTTTAGAGATGCAAAACAGTGAGAATTTCTCATTGAAGAAATGCAAATGGTTATACTCAACGTTCTCTCACATGCCTAGGTATCCTACATGTTTGAGAAAGAGGCTAGTAATTTTACAACAAAAAGAAAGGTGTTCATTCTGACACTGGCACAGATTCTCCTCTTATTCAGCCAGTGAAAACAAAAGGAAATAACATTCTTTATTTCCTTTCTGGAATCCTTAGGAAAAAGAAAAACTGGAAGAGTATTCCAAGTGCTGCACCATTCTTGAAAGCCTCCACAATGGCACAGTGGCTTTGCAAAGCGTGGCCAGGTACCTCTGCATCCCAGGAACGAAGCATCTTCCAGAGAAGCTCTCGAATGCTACTCGAGCTCTCCAACAGTATACTCTAAACACATCCAGTGATTTCATCTTGGCACACCCATAGCAGGTCCTGATGCAAGTACCCTGCAAAAAGACAACCTGGGAGCAGATACTGCTAACAATCTCATCTGTCCTTGAAACAGAAAACTTTGGGACTTCCTTAAAGGGTACTACTCTGCTCAAATAAAATAAGAGAATAAATGCGGGACATAGGTGTGAAAGACTGCAGTGTGTGTGTGTGTGGTTTGGGAAATAATGCTGAAACTGCACATTTCCTGGGCTACTCCAAACTCCAAAACCTTGTTCAACAGAACACTAGTATGTACACAAAGTTGGATCTCCTCCAGAAGAACACAAGTATAACTAAAATAATATACAAAGGCCTGATTTTTTCAGAATTAAGGGAAATGTGAACTTGAATCTTGCCACTCGTTAGCTGCCAACAAAGCATACATGATTTGGGGTTGGTAAATAAGCAACACCTGGCTTACTCTGGAGAAATGGGATAGGTGCTGCTTCTAGGGATAAACAAACACTAGAGCGAGAAATGTTAGTAAGAGTTGTTCATTCTCTAGTAACAAAGTCATTCCTTATCTGATGAGAGCAGAAGCCATTTGAAGGCACACTTGTATGCAGCATAATGTAAGTGCACATGTTCAATCTGACAATAGTTCAATGACAATCAAATAAGTAATATTGAGTGCCCGAGTAGACTGTGGGTATGTCTTCATGATATATTCCAAGCAATACAAACTTGTTCTTCCCATGCTCTAAACTAATCTAAACTTGTGCTCCTGTTTTAGTGTGGTACTACTGGCCCATTTGCAAAGCTTACCTTGAGCTTTGTGCCTTACTAAATAACACTAGCCAAAGTCATTCCAATTTAGCACGGGAAATAAGGGTTTCCACCTTTCAGTTGTCTGACATATTAGTACCTAAAATCTTCAGTTTAGGAAAGTGTAAAAATTCTCAGAAGTGAATGGAGAGAAAGGCCCAAGATTTTAAACCTTAAGAAAAATGGTGGGTTTTCCACAAATGGCACAGACATAGTACAGATGGGTAGAGCCTGTCTCATGCCAGCACTTTCTCTCAACTTTCTACTGAATTGGAGGGTTTCCTTGCAGCTTTTTGGGCAATGACCGTAGTTTTCTTTTTTTCTTTTTTTTTTCTTTTCTTTAAACTTCTACTGCTTTTTATTTTCTATTATTTCTTGCCTTCTGCTGTTGTCTTTTAGGTGTAAGGATTTTCCTTCTTTGTTCTTGAACCTTACAAAAGCAAAAATGAATCTGTGTTTGAATTGAATGGAACATGTTTTTCCATTTTACAGGTATAGAAAATGGTTGTAATGCCTAAGTGAAGTATGGGTTAATGTTGTATTTTACAGAATTCTAATTCAGAGGCCTGAAAGGAGAAATGGGAACATCTGTTCCTAGGTCCAGAGCTCCCCAATAGTTCTGACACAACTTGAGTTACTTTGAGAAAAGAAAAGTTGACCTTCTGGCCACAAATCTACTGACCAATGCCGGGGATGGACTGCTGTTCTTAAAAGAATGATCTCTCTACTGTCCTCAGAATAATCATACCATTCAATTTTCTGGCCTTGGAAGATGGTTGGGGATGTTTGAATAAAGTTCTGTTCTGTACTGGAAGTTCTGACTCTAGCTTCAGTCAGTTTGATAAGCCAGACTAGGTGGAGGAAAAGAAAAACCAAAAAGCAGAAGCTTGAGAAGTGCCTGTGAAGCAGTGAGCTTTTTTGGTTTGTTCCTGAAATTCTAATTTGCAGACTTGGACTTTCCACTGTTTTGCAACGTCTTCTGACCTGGATTTTTGACTTTATGTCATCTCAGTGTACTTTATGTAGTCTCAGCATACTTTCAGAAATTTTGTTCCTAATCCTAGCTTTGCCAGTTGTTACTGAGAGCCAGAATTTCCAGTGGGCTCTAATATTGAGGCTTCAGTCTACTGCCATTACTACTGTAGATTTACAGGTAAGAAAAGCCTCCAACTTTCTACACCAAGAGAATTCTTCTCCCAGATCCTCACTAATCCCTGAGGTTCTTCCTTTTTCGTGTTATTCTTAAATGCAGATTGCCTTACCCTGACTTGAAGCCTGGTAGCTAAAGAGTGGAACAAAAGATATCAGATGCCTTTGGAACGACTCTCCAACCAGTTGTTCTTCAGAAAAACTACTGTCTCTGTTTCTGAAAAAGCAAGAGGCTTGCCCCCAGGTTCAGGTGCTGGAATAGGATTGGGGTAGCACTGCAGCAGCCCTTAGCTTTATTGCCTGTATCGTAGACTACTTAATCATGCTTTAAAGAGCAAGAGCAAATTCTTATCTTGAAGCTATTCTTATAGCTTCTTATATTCTTATTCTTATCTTGAAGACTTTTTAAAAAAAATCTTGTAGAATGGAACTGTTCTGTCATCAGTAACATTTACAGTGGAGGATTTTGGACCTCAAAAGACTAATTACTAATAGATTATGGTTTTATTAAATGCAGCTCTCTAGAACCGCTGTCATCTTGTCCTCTGGTGAACATTTTACATCATATCCAAGTCCTGTTGAGAAGGATTCTATAAATAGGACACTCTTAGAAAACATGAGTTTTTAAGACTTTGCGTATTCATACTACAAATTCTTAAGCTTTGCTAGCTCAATATGAATACCTCCTTTTAGCAGTTTGAAAGCTTAGGGACATTGTACTGTCTATTGATAATATAACAGTTACCAACCTTTTGTCAATATGTCAGTACTCAATATTTTTTATGTCAATAGTTCTGTCAATAGTTCATACTGAATGTTGTTAGGCACTAAAGTATAACAGAATAGAAACAAAACAGTTGAAGTGTTTTCTAAATAGACCACAAGCTGTTTAGTTGAAATTAGTCTAATTTTTAAAAAGTCTTAATATACAGATATAGAAGTCATATAAGCAAGAAATATGATAGCCCTTAACCCTAGTTTCCATAAAACAAGCTTACTGGATCAACTTGCCTCTCCGGTTTTCTGACATTTTACTACAGAATTACATTAACTGATTCATATCAGAACAAAAACAACTTTTGATGTATCATTTTATTATGTTCACAATATGAACTAGGTTAACTGCTACTCAGGTACTACTAAAAATTTGATAAATTATATTGTAAGGATTATGAGATTTCACAAGATACCTAATACAGGTGGTGTGATGAGCAGGTACACATCTCACCGCTAAACAGCCAGTTTGGCAGACATCCCTCAGCTGAAACAACTGCAATAATCTCTACTTTGAAGCAAGTGTGTTTTGGAAGAAAAGTTCAAAAGGTGTTTAATTCCCAGAGAGTGATAATCCTAAAACTGTCTATTTTGTTCTGAGACCTGCAGGAAATACCTTCTTGACAGATCAAGTCAATTGACCTTTCCTTTCCAGAAACCTCTTGCACACTGAAATAAATCTCACAAGAGAAAATGTCAGAGATGTGAAAACAACAAGCCTATTTTTGCTGAACACTGCTGACAGGAATACAAACCCAGTTTTCAATTTTATAAAGGAGTACCTATGTCAATAACATTGGCACATAAAGTAATTGCCATAACAAATTATTTATATTCGTTATCTTTAGGTAAATAGAACATATACACAAACTCTCTCTAAAGGATCCTGGTCCTAGTCACAAAAATTTATGTAAAATCAACATCATATAGATCATAAAACAACTATCCCACAGAATGTTTTTGAGAGTTTATTTCACAAGAATAAGAAAACATCGATTTAACTGTAGGCCAGTTTATCAATGATAACAACCTGTACATTCCTTACAGTTTACAGTTTCTTAAATATTACAAACAGATAAACCATAGATGTAGCCAGTCCTTTGCAGCTTTTCACATTTCTTAGTAAGGCTACACAAAAAAAGGCATTCTCCTTTAGATCACACACATTAGTGAAACCTGTGTACTTATTTGAAAAAGAGTATCACTGTCATAATGAGATCTGGTTTACTGAACAGAGAAAATAAATGGAAGAAAAGAAGTTCAATCAAAGCTACTATTCAGCACAAGGATTAAAAATAAAGGAAAAGAATACACTGGTTATTGCTTTGCCTCCACCAGCCCTACTGTGAAATTTTCATATCCTTTTAAAGATGTATCCGGCACTCTGTAAAAGAAAGACACACAAATACACACAAGAAAAAAGTACTCACACTGTTCGGATGTTGAATGGCAGCTTCGTGCTGCAGTCTAACCCGCTGTGGCATCATCACATCATCCTGGAATAAATAGCACACTGTTGCTGAACATAAAAAGGGTCACAGTACAGTACTCAGACACACATCAGAATATGCTGTTAAATTAACATCATTTTACTGGCTTGCAGTCAGAAATACAAATGGAACAAATATTAAGAGACCTTACACTTTCAGTGGATTAAACTCAATCTTGTTCAAATTGGAAGTGGTCAAAACTACTACGCGACAACTGTGTTGTGATCTCAGCGTATCTCTTACGGGCACCCACACATTTTACATTTCTAAAGAAATTCACCACCTCGTTAACAACAAACTCTAATAACAGTAGTGGTACTATGTGTGGACAAGGAACTAACCTTGATTAAAAGCATGAGATTTGAGACATTCTAGCCATATGAGGAAACGTTCTTTGTAGTCTGGCTATATCTTGTTTCATTGATAAGGAAAAGCCTTCAGTCTCCAGATCTACCAATGTGTCGTATTTCATGAGCGCAAAAACTAGTATTTGTGAAACGATAACATTCTAAGGGGGAAGGGAAAAAAAAACCAAACAAACCAAAACCCCACACGCATCAAATGCATCAGCATTGACACTGGCTTCAAAACACACTACCTAGATTTAAATTTGATGTTAATACTTCGTTCACCTGTAGCATAAAGGTCTATTTTGTTTACATACAAAAAGACAGGTTGCCTTGGAAAGAGTCGGTAACCTTGCTATTCTTCCTTGAACAGATAGGAGATATTCTTTTCAAAATCATATACTTTTGAAATTACATTATTTCCTGTTCAAAATTATATCCTTTCTAGACTATGGTTTTACAGCCTATTAAAACTCCCAACTGTAGCACAAATTTTCTTCCCTAAATTTAATCTCCTGAGGTTTCTACCTATAATCTTTTCTATTTTGGTGCCACATTTCTTCCCTTTTAAAAGGTCAGTTCAGTCTTTCTCATATGTTGGTTAAAGTTAACACAACCTATTTCTCCTCAGAGTATTTTCAAATGGCCCTACCTTATCAGGCAAACATAATTCAAAGGAGCCCTGAATTCCTGTTCTACAGCCATTCTTTTAACAGTTCCTCACATTAAAATCATTCTAAGGAGATTCCTACTAAAGCCAAACAAAACAAATATCAAATTTCCAACAACTTTCACTTTAAAACTTTCAGTCAAATCAATGGCAACAAAAATATATTAGTGCTTAAATATCTAGAGCTTAGAGGGTTGAATGACCTTGATATAAAGGTGACACTATAGTTTTATCGAAAACAACGCGAGGATGAAAAAAGTTTTAGAAGTAGGTCCAACTATTTAATACAATTCAAGGTTAAAGATAAAACAAAGGAATATTAAAACTGACCCTTATCACATGCAAGTTTATAAAAGATGGAAGGAGCACATTGTCAAAAGCATTTTTCTGTATTTTGTATATATTTACTAATAAGCATAAGAGATGTTACTGATTTTCAAAGCCAATAGAGTGAAAAAACCCTTCTGATTTCTCAGCCTCTATGCATCATTTCCTTCAAAACTACAAGGATATTGTTTACCATCAAATCCACTTTATCCATAAGGCACCAGAATTCAGGTACTGTATCAAGCATATGTTCCAAAAAAACTTTTACCCTATTTCCCATACAAACCACAATCATATTTCTTTATGCCAAATCCGGGGCTGATTTTTTTAAATTAAGACCTGGTTTTCATATAAACAACAGGAGATATATTTTAACTGAGCTTTGTTTACTCCTTTAAGAATTACTTAGGTTTCTTAGATGTCTTGTTAAATCCCTAAAAAATAGAGAATGCAAAAGAAATCTATCAAAAAGCAAGGAATTTCAATGCTTAGAACAATGTTACTATTATCTCTTACAATATACAACATACACTCTTGCGGTAAATGACTCCACTGTTTATGATCCTGCACAACAGAGATAAATTTAACAGAATTCATACATTCACAAAGATGAAAAATAATCTAGTTGATTTAAAAGGGTTAAATCAGCGTAGAAAGTATGCAAACCAAATTCAAATATCCTATTCACCAACCAGGTCAACAGTATGTTTTTATAAGCAGACAACTTGACAGGAAAGGTCTAGCTCCCCCTGACCAAACACTAAGTCATTTTGATGCTATTGGCAAAACTAACAAGTCTACAGATTTGGGTCTTAGGCTATCATCAAGTTCATCAGTATTCTGTAAAATCCAGCTAAAGAGGGGGCACTATAATCACAAAAACTTCAAAATGCCTTTTTTTTTTTTTATAAATACATTTTTGTTCTCTACTGCTGGAAAACTCTATGAACTCTTATCCTGAAGGACCTTTAAAAAAGATTTTTTAAAATAATTTTGTCTTTGGGTTTTTTCGGTGTGTTTTTTTTAATTAACAGTTTGACACATATGATGCACTGCTGTATAGTTCTGTGATACTTTTCAGGTTTGTGGAAGGAGAAAGAGAGAAAGAGAGAAAGAGAGAAAGAGAGAAAGAGAGAAAGAGAGAAAGAGAGAAAGAGAGAAAGAGAGAAAGAGAGAAAGAGAGAAAGAGAGAAAGAGAGAAAGAGAGAAAGAGAGAAAGAGAGAAAGAGAGAAAGAGAGAAAGAGAGAAAGAGAGAAAGAGAGAAAGAGAGAAAGAGAGAAAGAGAGAAAGAGAGAAAGAGAGAAAGAGAGAAAGAGAGAAAGAGAGAAAGAGAGAAAGAGAGAAAGAGAGAAAGAGAGAAAGAGAGAAAGAGAGAAAGAGAGAAAATAGTTTAAGACATAATCCCAAATAAAATAATAAAGCAATTAGGTGATGAGGAAGACCAGCACAAAATACATATCACATCCCAGACAAAATTGCGTCACATCAGTAATCTAGCTTTTTAGACTCAGGCTTGGCAACTGCTAAATCCAACTTCAACACTTTACAGATTCTTTACTATCGATGACTGGGCAGGTAACCACAAAGTGGAAAACAGAATATATTTATACAGAAATAATCTTACGTAATGTGGTTGTATTCTAGACCAGTGTTTAAAAAAACAAATTAAATTCTAATGAGTAAAACCAGAAAGATTGTACCACAAAGTAAGAGCACTTTAAAAATTTTTCAACTTCATGGGCCATGGATAGGAGTGAGACGCCCAGCCATGCACTGTACTGGTAAGGGTTTATGGAGTTTAAACAACTGTAGTGTTAGACAACTAAGACGTGAAAATATGTTATCCAGTTGTACATTATGTAATCACAATTTTTCTATCAAAACCGTTCTATTTATGATACTGAATTCAGCAACTGTGTTGCCAGATTTTGGGTTCTACAGTCAACAGAGTTTTGTTTTTTGGTTTAAGACTGAGAACAAAACCTCAGTAATTAGACAAACATTTCCTGAATTATTTTTCACTCATGTCATGTCAGACAAAAAAAAAAAAGTACATAACTGAATGTAGCTGCTGTATCAAAAAGGGAAGTATATTTAGTTTGTTTCTGTCTCCTAGGTGTGAGTAGGGAAGATAACAAGGCTAGCAGTGAAGTACACTGAATATATAATTTTAAAAAAGGGAAGTTTAACAGAAGTTTCCACTGAAATTCAATTTTCCCTCTTAACATGGAAGTCTCTAATGGTTGTCTCCTAGCAGACATAAGGCAGACAGGATGAAGAGAGATTTCCCCCACTGAAAGAACGGACAAAAGAACAGATTTAAAATAAATGCTAGATAAATGCATGCCTTCACTAAGCATATACTTGCAATAGGATAGCTAAATAAAAAAGAATCTGTAAGTAAATCTAATCTCATGGGACCCCACTCACCAAACTTTGTAGAAAAATTACGAAAAGTCTCAGGTAATGCTGGGTTTACTGTCATCTAAATATGTACATACATACAATGCAAACAAGGCCAAACAAACAGGTAAACAGCAAGAAATAAAGCAACATAAACAGAAACCTACTTTAGGCACTCAAAATAACCCAGAATTTATAGGAATTTTGTTGATTACAAACACGCTTCCTGTTCTCCAGTGTCCATCCTGAGCAGGAAAACAATTTGCTGAAAGATGGGAGAATGAAAAGGACTTTATTTCACATGAAAAGCCAGCAGGGATTTCTAAACAAGCCCAGATGTGTTTCTGCCAGCGGGGTGCCGTGATCTCCATCACCTTTCAGTCCGACCGGCATTCTGCCTGCTTGTGTTCCTATCAAATATATCCCTTCTGCAGAAAGCTGGCTTGCTCCTGTCAAGTTCCACACCACTTACCGCTGCTGCCAGAAAAGCTAGTTATACAACTATCAGCTGGCTTGTTTTCCTTCCAACCAGAGGCACCATTCTTTATAAAAACACACACAATTTATACTGAGCTAATTGTTTTGTTTTACTTTACTCATATGTTTAGTTGAAGAAAAGGAAAACTGAATCAATAGCCTGAGCTTAAGAATATTACTCAAAGCTGCTGTTGTTTCAGTATGTGTTTCTTAAATCAATTTGGGTAAATTCAAATGACAAGCGTTCCCTGGCCTCCTCAACCAGGCCGTCTGGACCACACTGAACTCCACGGTGGTAACTTGATGATTTTTCCGTTAAAAGTGGGTGTTTTTGCACTTCAGAAAGTAAAACAAAATGTACAACTCAATGTACAATACACATCTACTTTTTAAAACCAAGGACATGTTCCCATAAAACAACACACTAATTATAGCTCAGTATTGAAGCGCTTTCTTAAGCTTACACTACGGACTCAGCATCACATGCTTTTGTAAATTCCTTCGTATTTGGCTGCTCAAAAAAAAAAAAAAAAAACCACAACCTAAAAACCCCAAACACTCCATCCTCACAATAATAGCACCTTCTTTCCACTGCAGCTATTACACACAAAATACAACCTGTAGCAACACCAGGACGAATGCTGGGCTCACTGAGAAACAGTATGGCATCTCCAAAGTCTTTCAATCCATCAGATGGTCATTCATGTTCCTGCACCTGCTCAGACTATAGGGAAAATCTTTCTTTGCTATTGTTCCGTTCAGCTCCTTGAAGCAGAGAAGT